AAGTTATAAAAATCCATAAAAAGTTGAATGATCAAAACAAAAGTTAATATGATTATAAGCAAGACAGAATGAAATGGAAACCGAAGTGGTGCCATTTTCTGTTGGCTTCTTTAGTGTGGAATAAATAGCGCAATTTCAGAAATTAAATCACACCTTCAGAACTTTATTAAACTTGTTGACGTATGAAGCACACAGTAAAAAAAACAAAAAAACAAATATCAACATGATTTTATTTTTACTGAAACTGTTTGAAATTGTTGTTTACAGATCATTATAATGAAAGGGAAGATCTAGCAAGGTGTATGAATACGAAAGAACAATAATACAAAAAAAGCAATTTTTTTAATTTTTCGAGCATAATGGTTTGCGTGTTTTAAGGGAAAGTTATTCGTGTTTTGTTATTTTTAGTTACTTCCCCTGTCAGAAACAACTTTTTTTTTTATTACATGAAATTTTTTATCGGTTTTATACAAGTTGTTCATAAAGTTTCTTTACAATGAAAAAAAATATTACGAAAAAAATGACAAATATGCAGAAATTGATACAAAATGAGGAGTAGATATTGAATTTTTTTTTTAGCTAATTTAACACACGTCTATATGGGCACCATTATTAGTTACGCGAAACACATCAAGACGGTACTCGATTTCTTGCATGTTAATTGTAGCATAGCTTCATCAGTGGTGGCAATAGCACCAGTGGTCGTTTGCTTTAGATCAGTGATGCAGTGGTGTAGCTAGTGTTTTTTTTTTCTGCCTGGGGCGGCTCTCAAGTTCACCCGGCCCCCCTCCCCAGAAGAAATACAATATTACAATACACATTAACCCCTTACAGTTTATATATATATATATATATATATATATATATATATAATTATTTATTCGAAAATTATAACATGTTATAAAATCACTACAAAAATAGTCATTTTGATTCAACACTTCTGGTGTCTTATTAAGTCATGGTGTTGAATGTTCAACACCATTACTTGATAAACAGAAGTGTTGAAACAAAATAGCTATTTTTGTAGTGATTTTATAACATATTTATGCTATAATTTTCGAATAGTTTTATATTTGCTCTACTCTGTATTGAGCACTCTTTTAAGAATAGTATTTGTTGGTTATTGGAATTTATTCCGTATACACCGATCCTATACTTGTGTATATATATATATATGTGTGTGTGTGTGTGTGAAAGTGAACATTGAAGTCAACACCCAGAGGCAACAAACTGTTTCATGCTAGACGCAGTCATCAAGCCACATCTGATGATTGCGTCTAGCATGAAACAGTCGCCTCTGAGTGTTGACTTCAATGTTCACTTTTATATTTACATACGCTATATCTTTGATATTGAGCACTTTATTTCATAAATATAGCACACCTTAAAACTATATTTCTTCTTATATATATATATTACATAGTCAACGACAAAATTATTCGTACACCCATCAATTTTTAATATTTTTATCCATATCTCAGAATCTAGTACCTGTATGATGCCAGTTTTTTTTTTATATCTTAATAAACACACAAAAGGTAGGTACCTCCACTTTTCCGGCACCTAAAGTTTAAAATGAATTTTTAAAAATGAAAAAGCATTTTTGAAGATTTCATTTTAGCTTTAATTGAAAGCTAAAAGATTAAATTTATTATTTCCAGTAAGTAAAATATTCTGGTGCATTTCAGATAGAAATTATATAGATTTGAATGCCAAATTTAATTTCGATTTCTTAAAATTTTCTTAAAAGCGGCCAATTTCTTAATTTTAAGAAATTTGCAAACAGACAAATTTATCAATTTTAAAACTCTTCCAAAAATATATATATATTTCTGACACCATATTTGAGTAAAATTAGAAAATTTAAAATTAAATTAATCTGATTTGAAATAAATATTACTTATAGCATGAAAAATTAATATACAACCATTTGTTATTGATCGGCCGTGTTTATCTGAAGCGATATTTGATGGACGATTGAGTGACGAAGCGATGACAGCTAATATGGCTGACTAGAATTAACATAAAATTTACGAAATCTAAGTGAATGCATTTTTTTTTTGTTTTTAACTACCAAGTAATTTTTACAAATGAACATATTTTCCGCAATTATCTAGTAATTTATTGACTTTTATTTACCTTTCAAAGATGTTTTATGCAAAAATAAAAAAAATTAAAATACTATAAACTTTTCTGAAATTAATTTCTCTGTAAAGAGACAAAACTCTTAGATCACGTGATCTTTTCATAATAATGTCACGTTTAGCATTTCATAGATTAAAAATGGAACAAATTAAGTAAAAAAAAAATATTAAAAAATAGAATAGTGTCACTACGTTTATTCTTTTCAATTTTGGATTCGTGAATTTCGTTTCCACTTAATTACTATATCATATCCAGGAAATAGCCTAATGCAGAATTTTATACTATTTTAAACTATTATCGATTATTATAATTAAAATAAAAAAAATAAAAATGAAAACATTCTTGTAAAAATTCATTATTCATCAGAAAATTTTTATTTCTTCAGACAATAATGTCCTTAATATAACTTATTTACAAAAGCAATTAAAAACTTTTCTAATTAAATAATTAGATAGTTTTATTGTATTCATTATTTTTCAATTCAGAGCAGATTTTCAGTTAGAATATTGCAAGTTTGAAAAAAAATTAGGTGATTTACATTCTCCAAAGAGTCCTACTTTCGTTAAAAGTAGGACTCTTTGGAGAATGTAAATTTCAGGAAATAGGTATTTTGCAAAATTTTATGAAATTAAGTGTGTGTAGGTAGGGGGGTAACATATGTAAAAATTTTATATATTTTTATACCAAAATGTTCTAAAAAAAGTTTCAAAAATAATTTAATTCATTTGTAAATAAGTCCTGAAAATTTCATTAAAATCGGACAATTATTTATTTTTACAAGAATTATCAAATCAATGCGTGTTCAACGGAAAAATGCGCAAAAAAGTCTATGTAATTATTATGCCACCCCGATGACAAAACAAGATTTTAACCAAAACTTCAAACGTGTTAGAAAGGATTAAAAATTTAAAAAAAATAATAATAATAAAAAATACTTTGGTCTTTCATCTTAAAAACGATTTGACGATAAAACTTTATTTTTATTAAGTTTGTGGCCTTTTTCATTACGCCATGCTGTTTTCAGTGGAGGTGCCTAAAAAGGAATATATATTTATTATGTATTTGATATATAATTGTGACACAAGGCCGAAGGGGGAGTGAGTTAAGGCTGGTCATCAGTAACTATCCTAGTCCCAGTTATTTATGACTCCTCACTGATAAATTATTAAATAAAAGTACAATTGTGGTTATTTAATTATTTAAAAAAAAAATAAAACTGGGGATATATATATATATATAAAAAAAAAACCGAAAACATTACACCTTTTAAATGTCACGTTAACAGAAACACGGTTCGTTTTTCTTTTAACAATGTAAAAAATGCTGTCTTTTTAAATTATTTTGTTTTACATAGTTGAAGTTATTATTAGCAAAGTAGTAAACTAAGAATTAAAAGTCCGATAAATTAATTTCACATTTAAAAACTGAAATAAATGTTATCATACTTTTAATTCTTAGTCTATTTTGCTTAATAAAATAAACTATCTAAAGAAGAAAAAATAAAACATTGCATTGTTTTACTACCGTGAAAACTTGTAAATTGGAAAATTGAAAAAAAAAAAGCAGCCTATTTTTGGACTTTAAATAAAGTTTCTGCACTTAAAAATATATTATTTTTCAATTTTCTTTTAAATTTCTGTTCGATATTTCCGGAAAAAATTGGATTCTATGTGATATCCTTAAAGCATTGGAATTATTTCAGTTTATTTATCTATTTTATAATTTATGAAAAGTTACGATTTTATATCCGTATTAACATACGCCTATAATAATAATAATAATAATAATAATAATAAAACAATTGGTTCACTTACGTTTTTTGCAGCAGCAGCAAACAGTCCGCAGACATGAAAAATCCAAATCAAATAACCGACGCCAAAGTCTGGACTTCTCACATAGGTGTGAAAAATAACTGTGGATTCACTAAATTCACTTTAATCCAATCCCACATCAAACCCTTTCAAAATGTTCAATTTTTTTCACACCTTTTGCTCACGTTTTGTAAGTGGGGTCTATCCCCATCAGCTGACAATGCGTTTTGGAGACAATATTTCCTTTATTGCTGGCTGATTGGCTTTGAGCCAGCCATATCAAAGAAAAAAATGACTCTCATCTTCTTCCTTATCGCTGCTTTTTCTGCAAAAATTATTGAAATTATGCTATTTTTTTCTTCTGAAAACTCACCGCGGACCAAAAGTTTTCCCCTCGCACCCACTCCCCTAGCTACTCCACTTCATTGATGTTCCGTATTTTTGTTAGATAATTGATATCTTTAACATAATCCCATAGAAAGAAGTCCAGAGGAGTGATATCTGGTGAACAAGGTATCCAGTGAATTTGGCCATCCCTTATAATTCACCGGTCTGGAAATGGTAGGGATTCATTTTACAGTTTCTCTTTCATCAACAGGGTACATGAAATACACAAATGCAATGTGATTAAAAACGTTAATAACTGCTGGGTGCATAGAACAAGTATGATTAAGATATCTCATCAAATTGCCTTTGTAATATATATTTTTAAATTGTAAATAGACTTTATGGACCCCCAGTATTTTTTCAATTTTGAAAGTCTACATTTTACAGTGATCAAATTTTACAGTATATAATCGCTTTTTAGTGCGAATTATTTCATTATAAAAGATCAAATTCCAAATCAACATCCATCTACCAAATTACTTTAAATTTGTTTCTACGAATTGATCGTTGTGTAGCCAACCCCGATTTATTCAATTGCATTATTGGCTAACTCATGAATGCAGTGTACGACCACTTCCCTGGTGTTTAGCGTGGAGATTCCGACTTGGACTATGCCGTCGACACGACTCGCTGCTCGCTGGCCGTTTTTTGAGGTAGGGGAGCACGCTGCCTGTTCAACGAGGAAGCAATAAGGATTGGTCTGCACGTCAACAACACCAAGCTGATGCACGTGGGTGACGGCCCCGATCTGCCAACCATCGTCATTGGCAACGACTCCGTCGAGTTCGCCATGTATTTCGTATACTTGTATTCAAAGTTTTCCAACACCTCACGGAGATCAACAGAAGACTTGGGCCGGCTACAGGCCTCTTGGGAAACCTCTGGAGATCATTATGACGGCATTCCGACAACTCCCAACACATCAAGCTACGAGTTTACAGCTCCTCTGTCCTCTCTGTGCTACTATACAATACCGAGATGTGATCTCTCAGCAAGACCCTCGCCTCACGACTCCATGGCTTCGTGTGCTGTACCCCCAGTCCGATATTGTGTCCAATGAGGAACTCTGCCAGAGAACCGTCTAGTCGAACATCCTCCGCACCATCGGTCAGCGCCTTGTTCGCTGGCTCGGTCACGTCCTTGTGACAATTTGATGACACCCCTCCTCTATCAGTTTCATTTACCAGTTTGATCTACCATCTACAAACTAGAGTTGATCTTACGGAAGACCACACAGCCTTTAGAAGGACGTCGTCCGCCAGGACCTCCAGCAGATTAATTTGGCACTAGAGGATATTCTGATGATCTGCCAACACTGAAAGAAAGCTGGAGGGACAAGGTCGCTTTTGTGGTATCAACGCCTTCATCCCACGAGATTTAACAGTAGCAGCAGCAGGAAAAATGATAATTTATAAACATTTTTAACACACTTTCTGAGAAATTGTCAATTTTTATTAAAAATAAATCATTTGTAGAAAAATAGTACGACATTAAATTTGGATTTGATATTTAACTCAATATATTTCAATACAAAAATGTTTCCCAAACTTTTTTCAACCAACGCCCCTTTTGAACCCAAACTTTGTTGTCAACGCATCTGTCACGTCAAATTAAATTAATTAAAATAATTTTAATATTGTTTTAATTTTTATTATAAATGCCAATAATTAAAATGCTAAAAAGCACAAACTTTTATTTGATAGCTTATTTTCAATACGATGGTTGACTTTAGTGCTTACTGCCTAAGTCTCTTACTCAAGGTTCATTTCATAGCTTATCAATGTTTTCAATGGGATGATTGACTTTGGTGATTACTGGCTATGGCTCTTATTCTAGGTTTATTTGATAGCTTATCTCAATGTTTTCAATGCGATGGTTGACTTTAGTGCTTACTGTCTTTCAAGGATCTTACTTTAGGTTCATTTCATAGTTCTTATCTCAATGCTTTCAATGCGATGGTTGACTTTAGTGTTCACTGGCTAAGGTTCTTACTCTAGGTTCATTTGATAGCTTATCTCAATGTTTTCAATGCAATGGTTGACTTTAGTGCTTACTGGCTAAGGTTCTTACTCTAGGTTCATTTGATAGCTTATCTCAATGTTTTCAATGCGATGGTTGACTTCAGTGCTTACTTGGCTAAGGATGTTACTCTAGGTTCATTTGATAGCTTATCTCAATGTTTTCAATGCGATGGTTGACTTTAGTGCTTACTGGCTAAGGATCTTACTCTAGGTTCATTTGATAGCTTATCTCAATGTTTTCAATGCGATGTTTGACTTTAGTGCTCACTGGATAAGGTTCTTACTCTAGGTTCATTTGATAGCTTATCTCAATGTTTTCAATGCGATGGTTGACTTCAGTGCTTACTTGGCTAAGGATGTTACTCTAGGTTCATTTGATAGCTTATCTCAATGTTTTCAATGCGATGGTTGACTTTAGTGCTTACTGGCTAAGGATCTTACTCTAGGTTCATTTGATAGCTTTCAATGCGATGGTTGACTTTAGTGCTCACTGGCTAAGGTTCTTACTCTAGGTTCATTTGATAGCTTATCTCAATGCTTTCAATGCGATGGTTGACTTTAGTGCTTTCTGGCTAAGGTTCTTACTCTAGGTTCATTTAGGTTCATGTTTTTTGATAGCTTATCTCAATGTTTTCAATACGATGGTTGATGTTTTTAGTGCTCACTGGCTAAGGTTCTTACTCTAGGTTCATTTGATAGCTTATCTCAATGTTTTCAATGCGATTGTTGACTTTAGTGCTTACTGGCTAAGGTTCTTACTCTAGGTTCATTTGATAGCTTATCTCAATGTTTTCAATGCGATGGTTGACTTTAGTGCTTACTGGCTAAGGATCTTACAATGTTTCATTACGATGGTTCTAGGTTCATTGATATTTGATCTTATCTCAATGCTTTCAATGCGATGGTTGACTTTAGTGCTCACTGGCTAAGGATGTTACTCTAGGTTCATTTGATAGCTTATCTCAATGCTTTCAATGCGATGGTTGACTTTAGTGCTTCCTGGCTAAGGATCTTACTCTAGGTTCATTTGATAGCTTATCTCAATGTTTTCAATGCGATGGTTGACTTAGTGCTTACTGGCTAAGGTTCTTACTCTAGGTTCATTTGATAGCTTATCTCAATGTTTTCAATGCAATGGTTGACTTTAGTGCTTACTGGCTAAGGTTTTTACTCTAGGTTCATTTTACTTATCTCAAGGTTCATTTGATAGCTTATCAGGTTCAATGCTTTTTTCAATGCAATGGTTGACTTTAGTGCTTACTGGCTAAGGATCTTACTCTAGGTTCATTTGATAGCTTATCTCAATGTTTTCAATGCGATGGTTGACTTTAGTGCTTACTGGCTAAGGATCTTACTCTAGGTTCATTTGATAGCTTATCTCAATGCTTTCAATGCGATGGTTGAATTTAGTGCTCACTCAATGTTTTCAAAGGTTCTAACTCTAGGTTCATTTGATAGCTTATCTCAATGCTTTCAATGCGATGGTTGACTTTAGTGCTCACTGGCTAAGGTTCTTACTCTAGGTTCATTTGATAGCTTATCTCAATGCTTTCAATGCGATGGTTGACTTTAGTGCTTACTTGCTAAGGATCTTACTCTAGGTTCATTTGATAGCTTATCTCAATGTTTTCAATGCGATGGTTGACTTTAGTGCTTACTGGCTAAGGATCTTACTCTAGGTTCTTTTGATAGCTTATCTCAATGCTTTCAATGCGATGGTTGACTTTTGTGTTCACTGGCTAAGGTTCTTACTCTAGGTTCATTTGATAGCTTATCTCAATGTTTTCAATGCAATGGTTGACTTTAGTGCTTACTGGCTAAGGTTCTTACTCTAGGTTCATTTGATAGCTTATCTCAATGTTTTCAATCCGATGGTTGACTTCAGTGCTTACTTGGCTAAGGATGTTACTCTAGGTTCATTTGATAGCTTATCTCAATGTTTTCAATGCAATGGTTGACTTTAGTGCTTACTGGCTAAGGATCTTACTCTAGGTTCATTTGATAGCTTATCTTAATGACTTTAGTTTCAATGCGATGGTTGACTTTAGTGCTCACTGGCTAAGGTTCTTACTCTAGGTTCATTTGATAGCTTATCTCAATGCTTTCAATGCGATGGTTGACTTTAGTGCTCACTGGCTAAGGTTCTTACTCTAGGTTCATTTGATAGCTTATCTCAATATTTTCAATACGATGGTTGACTTTAGTGCTCACTGGCTAAGGTTCTTACTCTAGGTTCATTTGATAGCTTATCTCAATGTTTTAAATGCGATTGTTGACTTTAGTGCTTACTGGCTAAGGTTCTTACTCTAGGTTCATTTGATAGCTTATCTCAATGTTTTCAATGCGATGGTTGACTTTAGTGCTTACTGGCTAAGGATCTTACTCTAGGTTCATTTGATAGCTTATCTCAATGTTTTCAATGCGATGGTTGACTTTAGTGCTTACTGGCTAAGGATCTTACTCTAGGTTCATTTGATAGCTTATCTCAATGCTTTCAATGCAATGGTTGACTTTAGTGCTCACTGGCTAAGGATCTTACTCTAGGTTCATTTATAGCTTATCTCAATGTTTTCAATGCGATGGTTGACTTTAGTAGGTTCATTTGATAGCTTATCTCAATGCTTTCAATGCGATGGTTGACTTTAGTGCTTACTGGCTAAGGATCTTACTCTAGGTTCATTTGATAGCTTATCTCAATGTTTTCAATGCGATGGTTGACTTTAGTGCTTACTGGCTAAGGTTCTTACTCTAGGTTCATTTGATAGCTTATCTCAATGTTTTCAATGCAATGGTTGACTTTAGTGCTTACTGGCTAAGGTTCTTACTCTAGGTTCATTTGATAGCTTATCTCAATGTTTTCAATGCGATGGTTGACTTTGTGCTCACTGGCTAAGGTTCTTACTCTAGGTTCATTTGATAGCTTATCTCAATGTTTTCAATGCGATGGTTGACTTTAGTGCTTACTGGCTAAGGATCTTACTCTAGGTTCATTTGATAGCTTATCTCAATGTTTTCAATGCGATGGTTGACTTTAGTGCTTACTGGCTAAGGATCTTACTCTAGGTTCATTTGATAGCTTATCTCAATGACTTTTTCAATGCGATGGTTGACTTTAGAGCTCACTGGCTTTAGTAAGGTTCTTACTCTAGGTTCATTTGATAGCTTATCTCAATGCTTTCAATGCGATGGTTGACTTTAGTGCTCACTGGCTAAGGTTCTTACTCTAGGTTCATTTGATAGCTTATCTCAATGTTTTCAATGCGATGGTTGACTTTAGTGCTTACTGGCTAAGGATCTTACTCTAGGTTCATTTGATAGCTTATCTCAATGTTTTCAATGCGATGGTTGACTTTTAGTGCTTACTGGCTAAGGATCTTACTCTAGGTTCATTTGATAGCTTATCTCAATGTTTTCAATGCGATGGTTGAATTTTAGTGCTCACTGGCTACTCTAGGTTCTTATCTCAATGTTTTCAGGTTCATTTGATAGCTTATCTCAATGTTTTCAATGCAATGGTTGACAATTTATGGTTGACTTTACTACTGGCTAAGGTTCTTACTCTAGGTTCATTTGATAGCTTATCTCAATGTTTTCAATGCGATGGTTGACTTTAGTGCTTACTTGGCTAAGGATGTTACTTCTAGGTTCATTTGATAGCTTATCTCAATGTTTTCAATGCGATGGTTGACTTTAGTGCTTACTGGCTAAGGATGTTCTTACTAGGTTCATTTGATAGCTTATCTCAATGTTTTCAATGCGATGGTTGACTTTAGTCTTACTGGCTAAGGTTCTAGGTTCATTTGATAGCTTATCTCAATGTTTTCAATGCGATGGTTGACTTTAGTGCTTACTCACTAAGGTTCTTACTCTAGGTTCATTTGATAGCTTATCTCAATGTTTTCAATGCGATGGTTGACTTTAGTGCTTACTGGCTAAGGTTCTTACTCTAGGTTCATTTGATAGCTTATCTCAATGTTTTCAATGCGATGGTTGACTTTAGTGCTTACTGGATCTTAAGGTTCTTAGCTTATCTCAAGGT